TTCTGTGCAGCCCCTTGGCTGGTGCATCATAATTCAGCTTCTGCCAGCTAACACTTATTGGTAGTATACTGTGGACTTCCTGATCGAGACTGGCATTTACCATCTGAGCTTCTTACCAATAAGCCAGCTTTGGCATGTCTGGGTAGCCCACACACCTTACAGCCTAATCCTATGGGCAGGCACACCAGATTAGGCATGTGGGTAGACACACTGGATTAGGCACGTGGGAGACCAAGTTAATGCAAATAGCCTCAACTTGGTATAAGCTAAAGCAAAGTCTACACTTAAGGGCATCTGCACTTTTAGGCCCCACAATATTCCAAGGATGGTTTCCAGATACAGGAATGGTTGGGTATGACACCTTTGTTTGGCAAACTTTCCTGGCTGGTTTGGTAAATGGATTTCAACCTAAGAAACAACTCCAATTGATTGGTAGGGGTTGCTTACAGGGCAGTGCTGGAAAGGATTCTGAGGCCAGGCCGAGGCCCAGAGGGAAGAAGTGCGGTGGCTGACCAGCACCGTGAGCAGAGGAGGAACAGCAGACTCCTGCCACGCTCGCATTGCTCTCCAAAAGCTGGGGTAGGGGGAAGAGTGAGGGATTTGCAGAATTATCTGAACTGGCCAACTACATGTAATCACTTCCTTGTGAAGGCAAGTTATTAATGACTAAAGCATCTGTGGCATGATGGATTGGGTTTGGCATCCGGGATTTCAGTCCCAGTTCTGCTACTGGGACTGGATACCCCACTATAGATCCTGATGGCTGAAGGGGAGGAAAAGAAAGTTAGTACTTACTAAGTAATAGCAACGTGCCAGTAAACAGTAAGTGCTTTACATACACCGCATTATTTCATTAACTCCTTCAAGCCTCACTTTTCTCAGTCATGAAATGGGAATAATGTCACCAGTGTACCATGTGGATTAAATAAGATAATGGGGCTGAAGACTCAGTGGGTACTGTAAATTGTTCTAGAACTATAGAGTATCAGTGTAGTGATGATTAGCATTCAAGGCATAACAGCAGTTAGATACAGGCCTCTGCCTCAGAGTCTTGGGCTCTGATCCTAGCTTCATTACTTGCCTAGATTTTTCCCCTATACCCCAGTTTCCTCATATACAAAATGGAGATAATACCAGTACTCTCTAACAGTAGTGATATGACTACAGGAGACAATGCACGTGAGAGCTATCAGCAGAGTGCTGCGCACGTAGTAAGCAGTTGACAAGAGGTAACTGCTTTTAAAAATTATAATTCTTTCTGATAATATTATTTTAAAAGATCAGATTGTTGCCATAGCTTTCATTAACAGATTCCAGTAAAGTTTTTCAGTTGTAGAAAAGTCTGATAGAAAGTCGGTTTAAGTTTGGGTCTTGCAGATCCAAGTCTGAGGCTCTCATCCTGACTTTCTCAGAAGCAAATGGCAGACGGTAAAGCTGGAGCAGCGGCCACCACTATTTGGTCAGAAGGCAAGAGCAGCTGTGATGGCACCGCAGAGCTTGGGAATTCCGATCCTCCACTGTGTGCTTGTAGGTACCACTGACTCTGAGTGGATGGGTTGTTTCCTGTGGAATCAGCAGGGCAATTGGGTAAAGGCTGCACACAGACACTTACCACTTAGAAGAACTTGCCACAGGGGGGCAAGTGAAATCTCTGCTCTGACTGACACAGAATGGATGAGTGGAGGAGACCATCCATCAGTGTCAGGAAAGATCTGAAGCACCTGGCTAGTCAGCTGAAATAAAATAAATTATTTACTGATCTCAGAACCCAGCTGCTCACTTGAATGCTCATAAAGGGGGTGCTTGTTTGCTGCCTGGCACTTTGCAGTAGATTCTGTTTCAGAAAGAATTTCTGGATTGCCCTGAGCAGTTTTTACTGTTAGAATGAAAGGGCATTATCATCTGCTTTGCAAGGAGGGAAACGGGGTCTTAAATTGCATACCTGAACTCGTTTACATGGGAAGAGGAAATGAGCTTATTTATTCATTGCATGGTACGGTACTCATGGAGACAGCTGATTGTCACAAAATTCCTTGGGACTAATCAATAAAGTTTCTGTTTGTAATGCTAAAAATTGAACTTTAGATTCATAATGGAAACAAATGTTCTGACATCTGTTTTAGAGGCGCCTCAGAGCCGTGACTCTCCACCAGAGGGCGCCGTGTGGGCCACTGGAAGCATCCAGAGGGGACTGGAGGGGCCTCTAATCACCTGGCTTCCGTGAACCCCGGCGCTAGGGGGTGATACTCGCTTGCATCACTGTCATCACCCGTTTCTACCTGACTGTCTCCACTGTAGTTACAAGAGAAGCTTTGCCAATACAGCTGGTACCTAATCTGGGTGGGCTGGTTAAATATTTTCAAGATGGTGGGCTAGGAGAGAAAGCAAAGGGCAAAATAAAGCACGACAACGGTGACAACACTGAGCTAGGCTACCGTGCAGAACACAGCTTGTATGGGCCAGACACTTTCATACGATCTGGAGAGGTAAACATTCCAATTCCCTTGTCATAAATGACAAAGACTAAGACGGAAGAGGGAAGGGCCTTGTCTAAGGTGTCACTGCAGGTAAGTGGTAACGCTGGGGCTCACCCAGGCCTGAGTACAGAGCCTGGGCTCTTCCCACAGATTCCTTTAAGTAAACACACAGGTCTGAGTCTGATGAACTAGTTTGGCTTTGGCCTATGGAAAAAAGCGGGGTTTCGAAAGCAGCCCATGATCTTGGTTATCTTTCTAAGGCATTGTTTTTAGCTAGGGCATCTCTGATTCGCGGATTCTCTGATTATGCTTCCCTGGGAAGGTCTCTGCCTTGTACCCTGGTCCTCTATCTTGGCTGCAGTCGTGTCTTACTGGGATTCTTAAAATTGGACCCACTCAGAAAAAGCAGGCCCTTTGTTCTGGGAAGATGCTGCAGGCAAACACGAACCAGATGTCTGAGCAGCATTCTCACTCTAGCAAAATTTTCCTTGAGAATATACCAACAGGAAGTGCACAAACCATGTAATAACTTGACTTTTCCACAAAGTCTGCATCCTCAGGCAATCAGCACCCATATCCAGAGACAGAACCTCAGCAGCTCCCCTCCTCCAGGATAACCACCATTACTTCTACACAGCAGATTCTTTTTGTGTACTTTTGAATGTTACAAACAGTATCTATTGTATGTACCTTCCTCCCCCACCCCCCACTCTTTTGGATTTGGTTTCTTTTGGAGCAGCTTTATTGTTTTTATTTCTATGAGAGATACCAGAAAAAGCACCCCCAGGAAGAAATACTTAAGAACTTTGTTTTAAGAAGCAATTATTTAAAAAACCATTTTAGATACATAGAGCTTTTTTTGTGAGGAGGGAGAAACAGGTCTAGAGAGGGATAAAAAAAGTGGGTTCTGTGTTTGGTTCAAAGTTACTGGGTGCTAGTTCATCCATTTAGGCTGTTAGAATCACCATCATCTGGGCAGCTGATGTTCACCAAGCACTTGCTAGGTCCCAGGTGCCTTTTCATTCTGCATGTGTGATGACATTTCATCCCCACAATTACCGTTATCTCCATTTCACAAACAAGGAAACTGAGGCACCAGGCTTCTCACTCTTGAGTCTGTCCTCCAAGCCACCATTATACTGCCTCTCCACTAACAGCTCTCACTTACAGGAAGTTCACCAACTGTCAGGCTCTGTGCTAAGTGTTCCCAGGGATTATCTGACTTGTTCCACACAGCAATCCTAAGAAGTTGGTCCTACTGACATTGCCATTTAAACAGGACAGAACTGAGACTCAGAAAGATCAAGACACTTGCCTAATACAGCTGGTTATTGACAGAGCCACAATTTAGATCAGCTGTGATTCCCACGCTCCTTTCTTAATCACTAACCTGTACTGGTAGCACATTTCAAGTTCCTATAGGTCAGGCTGCAAAGGAATACTTGAGGAGATTTTTGAGGCTTATTAGAAATTAGCCAGACTAATGTCAACATTACATGAGAAAAGACTTTATTATGAGGCACAGAGCATTTGCAAGAAACATAAAATTAGTGAGCCTTAGAGTTAGAATTCAAACTTTCTTTCTTTACACATAAAGCAAATGAGGCCGAGGATGAGGCAGTGGGGCAGAGGTCAGTGGCAGAGCCAGGGGGATCAGTTCAGCTCCCCAAAGGAGTAAGGCTGGCATCCATTCCTGTTTCCCCTCTCCTCCTGCCATCCTTTGTTGGGGAGCAGGTGCACTCAAGTTGGCTAGACCAGGGTTCTGCTCCTGACACTACCACCTACGTTCCGTGTGAGCCTGGGTGTGAGACATCACCTCTCTGCACCTCATTTACCTTCTCTGTTAGGTGGGGACAGCAAAAATACCCACCTTCTAAGCAGTCTGTAGTGTACGTAAAGCCCTGAGCACAGTGTCTAGTATCCAGCAGATACCTACACATGACAGCTATGATGACGATGACGATGATGTATTAGCTATGCTTGACTACTATGACGCTTTTTCTACTCCTGTTACATTTAAGTCAAAACAGAAACTTAGCAATTAATTGGGACATATTAACCCCAAATGTTAATTGAAAGTTACTTCTGCATTATCTGGTGAGGATCCAAATATAACTTCTGAGATCATTAAAAAGCTTCCTGAATAAAGGCACGAATGAACATGCAATGAATTCACATAAGGAGGACAAGGCGCACGGCAATGCCACAAAGCAGTTCTAAGGGTAGTTTGGGAGAGGAAGACAGAATAGAAAGAATTATGGGACTTCACAGGAGTCAGTCAGCTTGAAAAGAGTCTCAAGTTAGTTCTATGTCTAATCTTCTGCTTCATTAAAAAGACGATGACAGAGCACTCAGATGGGAAAAAGGAGGTACTTTAAATTTCATTGTTTAAACATTTTCTCTGAAAACAAATTACTGTTAGTCTCATTCAGGTCACATAAAAGTGGCAAGTTGTTTCTTTCCCTGTTTCTACACTAACCACCGATATAAAAGGCTCAGTTCATCACCTGCTCATGCACTTACCTAACTGTACATCCGTTGTGAATCGCAGTCTGTGGATCATGCTGACTTTGAATGACTTGTAATGGTGGCTGCTAAGCATATCCTGTACTGTAGCTATGTCAATTTGTGAATCTTCCTCAAAAACCCCGTCTGCCCTTGAACCTGGGGAGGAAAAAGCAGTTTAACACATAAAGATACATGAGGCTTGGCAAATGGTGTCTGCTTAAAATGCTTTGGGATAAATTAAAATAATATGGGCTATTTAATTTGGAGAAGAAAACACTGAGTGATGACTTAATAATGCCATTCCAGTAAACAGAGAATGGTAACATATTAATCATTCAACAATTAATTCCAAAAACACTGCCTATTCTATGGCAGGCCTCTGGCTGGGCAGTAGGGATACAGAAAGAGAAAAAAAACTTCCTGCTCGCCCGAAGCTCTCTGTCTCCACAAGAGTTAAGTCAAAATCCTCAAAAGCATGAGTTGTCACACTTCTTGTTTCTTTTTGTACTAGAAATTATCCTGATCATTAAAACTAAGCCATGCTCTTGAAGAATCCCTGCCCCTTCCAAGATTCTCAAACCATCTGTTTATCAACTTCCTGTCCCGCGCCCCAGCCTCCACGGGTTCAGGCAGGAGCCCGCTCGCACGTGGACGGCTGGAACAGTCTCTTCACTTGCCCCTGGCCACCAGGCTCCCTCTGCAATCCAGCTACCATGGCACTTCCTGATTCATAAAGCCTTCTAGAGCTCTGACCATTCATTCACTCAGCAAATGTTTAGTCAGAGCTTTGTGCATGGCTCAGTACTCTGATACATGATACTGGGGACAAATAAGAAGACTGGCGCTCAAAAATCTTCCCTGGCTTCCTAAGGCCTTCTGAATGGAGCATTTTTTTAAGCCAAGCACTCAAGGCTGTCTATAATCTGGCTGAAACATGATTTTCACTTTTACTTGTCACTTCTCACACTTACCTTCTCTTAGCTCCTCCCAAACTCCTCAGACCGCTCACAGGTCCAGGTTTTTCTACCTGTGGGCTGGGTCTTTGCCTACATGGTACCCTTGGCCTAGAAGACCTCTTTCACCCTTACCCTGGACCTGTCAAAACCTCACCCAGGCTAGCTCTCATTCCATCTCCTCCTGATTTCCACAGCAGTTGTTTACTCTGGATTCTGGAGCCATGCAGACCTGGGCTCAATTCCTAGCTCTGCTTCTAACTTGCTGTATGATCTGGGGTGAATGACTTTGTATCTCTTGAATCCCTGTTTTTGCCAATCAGAGAATGTCAAGTGTAGTTAGACTCTAACACAAAATACACTTAATGAACAGAAGTCATGATTATTTTTATTCTTTTGTTATAGAGGATCACATTCAGCTTTGCTGTAGAATTATTGAGTGGTTACTCTGTCCTAATTTGGAAGCTTTGTGGAGTCTAAAATTTCTTATTAATCTCTCTATTTTCTGCTAGTAGTATAGGCAACTAGCATGCTCTCACTTAAATATTTAAAAAATAGGAAGTATGAGTGTTTACTCCACTTCACGCTTGGGGCTAAGCACTTTACACATGCATTTAAGCCTGTGACAACCTGGTAAATCCTCTAACTTTCTGTTTTACACATGAGGAATACGAGGCTTTGGGAGGCAAAGGCACATGCCCAAGGTCACACAAAACAAAGCCAAACCATCTCTTGCCTCCGCGCCACCGAGTCTGAAATGTGGTCTTCTGAGGATGCAGCTGACAGTACCACTCAGCAGTGAGGGGGCAGCACCTGTCTAGCAGAAGCTAACCAGAGCAGGGTCCCCTGGCCTTGTGTGGAACATCCAGAGATGGTTCCAGAGGGAAACTCAGAGAGAACTCCGAGGGATAGAGTAGGAATGGAAAACTCTAGATTTGGGTATAAATCTATAAAATGCTGCTAGGTAACTGGTAGCCTGACAAATACCGGGTCTTCCTTCCCACAGTTATTGCTTTTGGGGCAAGCTTTTAAGTTGGTTTCTGATGCCTTCACACTTAACTCATTGATCAGGAATCGTGCATTCTGTTTCCAAACACTACATTTTTCCCAGCTGGACCAGACCATTCCAGCACCTATAATAATGCTTTGCCCTCAATAAGGATGCAGCCTCACCCTAAATGGGCCATTCACTGAATGTCTGGGACACAGTCCCATCTTAGAGTGTAGAGTGTCTGCACAGGTCGTCCCCTCTGCCCAGGCCACCCCTCCCCCATTTCACTCCCCCTGGGCCTACTCCTCCAGGTCTCCTCCCTGCTCTTCCTGAGGAGCTCGGCTAAGTGACACTCCAGAGAGACATTCCCGGAACTGAGGCCCCAGGTCCAGTTCAGCAACTTCTTGTCACTGCCTTTTCCTTCAGAATATGCATCAGACAGGGGTTATCTGTCCCTGCTATTGGACTGTGTACACCAAGAGGGCAGGTGGAGCAACTGCTTTACCCACCACAATAGCCCAGACCCTGCCAGTGCCACCACGCGCACGATAAAGCAAGCGCTCAGTAAGAATTTACTGGGTAAATGCCAGGTGCCATGTTCACAGGAAGGTGAGCATCAGAGAGACTGAGTGTCTTAACCAACATCATATTGCTAGGACTAGCAGATGCACTCAATATAAGGGCCACGGGGTAACTCCGTTTCTTTTCTTTGGAACACCTTGACTTTGGATAGAGACGCCATCATCACCATCACCCTCCCTTGGGTAATGGTCACATCCTAAAGCAAGAGGCTGGCTAGAATTTAAAGTTTCAAATAACCATTCACTTTCTACAATATGCATTTTACTGAAACAGAACTGCCAAGATGTGTTTGTTTCTATTTTAGAATATTTCATATACATGAGAACTGTGGAGCATTTTGGTGAAATAGTAAAATCCTTTCATGTTTTAAAAATCATTTAGACATCTTTTCTGAGAAGATGCCATGATTAGATACAACTTAGCTCAAGAACTTGTTTTCTTTACTATTAAATATTTTCTAAATATTACAGGTATTTGATTTGGGAAGAGGTAACAGCTCATTATGCTAAAATGCCAATTATTTTGAAAAAAAACCCCAAACACTTAAGAGTTTTACATTTTATGATGTTGGATTAAAACCAATTTAAAAATTACTATAACGTGACATATAATTTTTTACTGAGCAATTTCAATGCCAGCTGCTAATAAAGCATCTTAGCTGTAAATGATAATTCAGATGCTTTTAGATAAAGTGGTGCATAAATATGGCTAGAAATTGATTTAGCTTCTTACAGAAGCTACTGAAGAATGACATATTTTGTTTAATACACCAGCTAATGTAGTCCTAAAAGCTCAAACAAGTGCCAGTTTTCACTCTTAAATTTGCTGTGGGAGATTAATGAAAACTTTATATTTTGCTGAAATGTTAATAATGGGCAGATGAGATGATAGGATTTTAGTAGAGGTCTTAAAGCTATGGAATAACCAGCAAGGCTTGTCAATTTCTTTATATTAATTTTGTTTAAGACTTAAATAGCTGGAGCTGGCTCAACACACTAATGCTTCTTGCACTGACCTTCTACTCTCTGACAGTGTAAATTCATATCCCAGTCGAGGATATAAGTCCCCCTGATACTTGGGTGAGTTCTGAGCCTTGCCCCAGATGATAAGGGATGTGTTTGCTTTGATGATGTAGAGAAGGAACAGTCCTGCACTCCGCCTCTAGGATACGCTGCTCACCCCAAAGCAGGTCACCTGCTCAATGGAACAGCTTCTGGTCTCAGAGTTCCAGAGCCCTGGGCTCAGAGGAGGCTCAGGAGTGCCCCTGCTTGGAGGGAGCATGTCTGTGTGTACAGGTCAGTCAGCCATGCAATCTGCAACTACTCTCTTTATGCCAGCAGGATGCTAGGCTGTCATTGGTGAGGATAAGGCAGGGTTCCTGATCTTGAGGAGTTTATAAAACTTGTTACAGAATACAGAGAGAAAAATGCCCCCAAAATGGCATGTGCAACAGATGCTTTATCTAAAGATGAAACTTTTAAGCAGAGTCTTACACCAAAAACATGTTTTTTGGACCAGAAAAGGTCTATGACTTTGCATTACTTTACTGTTTGTATCCTTAGAGAAAGGTGTGAACCCAACCATACATGAAAGATGTTTGGCACTGCACCATTTGCATATTAACATCACTGTATTATCAACTTCACATTTAAAAATCCACTTCAGTTCAAGAGAAGACATTTTTATCTACTCAAAGGGAAAAGTAGCGAGAACCAGAATGTCTAAAAAATAAACATATTTTTTAAAAGAACCACTCCCCAAATGGTTAATTTAATTGAAATATAACCCTTTGGTATTTTGTTAAATTAGCAATTAAGGAGGTCACAACCAATTAAGTGAAACAAAAGCCACACTGTGTTCGTCTACATTAATGCTGAACTGGGTCTCCTCGTGAATGACAAGATGAATTGTAATGGTGCCTTCAAAGACTTCACAATGTATTTTGTCAAAGTCGGGAGTGTTAATGTCTCTATGTGCCATGGATTACCATAATGTATTATGTCAAAACGCTCGAGCTGCAATAACTCAAAGATGTATTGTGACAGATCAAATTTTGGGGTGGGGCCTACAAGTGACTTGAGCACCAGAGCTCAAATGGACGGACAACAGGCTGTGGAGTAATGAGAGGCTACATTCACAATGTGTAAAGATTTGAGGGACAAGCAGAACACCTAGGAGAGGGAGGAGCTCAACTGTCTAAGGAATCAGGAAGGAGCAAACGAGAAATGGCAACTATCTTAATGGCCAAAGCAGGCCAGGGCAGGAGGGGGCAGACAGTAGCAGAGAGGAGGTGGTGAGCGGCGTCTAGAGCCCGCAGCAAAGAAACAAAGAGGAGGTCCTGGGAAAGCCAAGGGCTGGGGAGTGGCACTGGGGCTTAATAACATTGGAAGGCACCCAGAACACACACTTCAGAGTGTAGATTCAAATCCTAGCTCTGACACCAAAGGGTCAAGAGTGAGCCAAAACCTTGCTCCCAGATTCCACTGTTGGGAAGAAGCAGAGCTGGGACAGCTCTGTCGGACTCTGGAGCCTGTTCCTTCTGCTGCCCTCTTGCCTCCCACCTCACACATCCCTACCGGCAGCAGCAAGGAGAGAGACTGCATGGGTAACCATAAACTCTACATCAGTGT